CACACACACACACACACACACACACACACACACACACACACACTGACCTCCCTGCCCCGGGGGGACAGTCCCGGGTCCCCGCCAATCCGGCCCTTGAGATTGAGCTCACTTTCCCCGTGCCGGCAGAGGTAGATGGAGCGAGGGGTCACATGGATGTTCATGAGGTAATACACGATGCGGCTCTGGATGTGATCAGCCACCCGGTTCACCACATAGCTCTGCCCCACGTCCATGATCTTGATGTAGGACAGATCCCTTTCCAGAGAGAAGGTCGAGAGAGAGAGGTGTGAGTGTGACTGGGCCCCCGAGGGCTCATCCTGCCACTATCGGAAGTGGCCACAGAGCTGTGCATTTCGGACCACTGGGCTTGAGATCACAACACATGGACAGGCAGCTGGTGTGCAAGTGACAGGGGTGAGGATGGAGCAACACAACACGTGGGACATCCAGACAGATCCTGTGAGAGGTGCTCAACACTTGTCGTGTTTCCAAAAGGTGACATCCAAAGGGTCAGTCATACACATTGTGACTTTCACTGCTGCTCTGTGGCCCCCGGACCCCGCTTGCCTACCTCTGAGCTCTCAACGCACAGTCTGTAAGGTGAATAAGAGATGGTTTTTTCCAGGACTGACCTGGGGGCAGCTGGCAAATGCTCCTCGCCTCCGCTTCCCTTGCCAGCCATCCCTGGACCTGCCTTTCCTTCCCCCAATAAACCCCGCCCCTGTACCCCAGCTCAGCCACTTCCCTTGCTCGCTCGGGCTGGGCAGCAGGGCGGTTGGGAGAACACGCTCTGTCTGCTTCTGTTTGCTGGGTGCTGGGGAGGCAACAGGAGGAAAGATGGGGTTTCTCAGGCATCGTGCTCTGGGCGGGCCCAGGGAGGCCCTCTGAAGGTTCTCATCTGAGTTCTCACTGTCTGGCCCGAGGGCCTAGGTTTAAGTTTAGGGTTGTTACATGGACACCAATAAAAACAGTAGCAATGTTAACTGAGGAATCCAACAGGAGCTGTTCCAGTTAAGCCTCTCTCGTGCACTCACATCACAGAACTACAAGAACCACTGTGCTGGGGTGACTAGAGAAACACAAAAAACCACCGGGGCCCAGGCAGTGGGTGCTGACTGGCTGGGGTTGGCCACAGAGCCCGGCCAAGGAGACTCAGCCAGAGGAGGAGTTCCTACTGGAGTTACAGTAGGAACTATTCTGTAAAGACCCCCAGAAATCATCCCTCTTACGGGTGCTTGTTCCCCTTGGTCTGTACGCATTAGATGTTCTCATGTGATTATACAGGACCCTACGCCCAAGTTTACATTCCAGACTTTCACTTAATGCCACATAACTTACCCTGTCCCCAGTGTCTTGGCTATGATCTGTGACTATGCAATACGTTACCAAGGGGCCACAGTGTTACTTGCTTAACCACTGCCCCCACTTTGGCTGTAATACAGAAGTTGGCAAACTATAGCCAAAAAGTCAAATTCAGCCCGCAGCCTGTTTTTGTAAATAAAGTTTTATCGGAACGCAGTCATGCCCATTTATTGACATGTTGTCTATGTTTCCTTTGCACTACAACGGCAGAGTTAAATAGCTCAACAGAGACTGTATGCCCCCAAAAATATTTTCTACCTGACCCTTCACAGATAAAGTTTGCTCCTGTAAGAGCCTCAGCTGATGCCCCTTGTGGGCCTAAAGACCCCTCCCACCCAACACTTACTCCTGCTGGGTCGGCCATTCCAGAAGGAGGCAGTGGGGCTTATCAGCATGGGTCACTGTCAGCTGTAAGCAGGATCTGGGCACTCCTCCCCGCCCCCCCCCCCAGTCTCAAAACACAGACTGCGCACTTAAAGAACACGTAATGTTCGCAAATGCCTTGCGGGAAGACTCTCCACATAGAAATTAGGCTTGATTTTATAAGGGAATAGCAGAAAATCCTGTTCTTTCTTCCTTTCTTCCTCCCTCTCGCCCTCCCTCCCTTCCATTCTAGTAAGCTCTATGCCCAGTGCAGGGTCACTGAGTCATATGGAATAACAGAAAACTCTGACTTGCAGAGCCCCAGATAAGGTAATAGGGGTTCTGCAAGTCACCTCTGGCCCACAATTTCTGCCCAAAGGAAAGGAACAAGGCCAGACCATCTCTGACTGCTGGGGTGGCCGCTCAGCCACCACCCCGGCGAGTCACAAGGAGGCAGCTGAGCAGGACCCCCACCACCCACCCGTCATAAGCTGCGGGACGGGGTGCTCTCCTCACTCACCTGTCCAGGTCCTCATCCAGCGACTCGTACGAATTCTCATAGCACTCAATGCGCCGCATGAAATCTTCCGTGGCCTTGTCACTATCATGGTTCACATAGTCAGGGCTGCCCAGTTTCACTTGCTGCCGGACCAGGCACAGAGCAAGGACACATCAGGCTTGGAGGCCAGGCAGGGCTAGATACCGGGGAGGATGCTGGGCAGGGGTGAGGGGAGGCTGAGCCAGAGGCCAGGGCAAGGCTGGGGGCATGAAGCTGGCAGCCGATCCCCGGAGACTGGTTCCGTTAGAAGGAGTCCAGCAGTTCCCTGGTCTTAGTTCCCACACCAGCGCCAACAGAGTGTTACTGGGCAGCCTAAGATAGGAGTCCTCATCTTTGTGGCACAGGGGGATGTGAGGCCAGAGGAGCAAAGGGCCCGGAAGCCCCTTCCCAGCTGAACCATCTCCCCCAACCCAGATGTTCATTCCTTGGATAAACAGGGGGCAGTGGAGAGAGGTCAAATCTCTTTCGCTTTCGAAATACAAACATCACTTCCTACTCCCACCCCCTACCTCCAGAGGCTGAAGCTCCTCTCTCACTGTCCAGGGAATGATGAGGGGGAAAGGGAGGGGAAGGTAAGAGCAGAGAGCAAGAGTGAATGCCCCCCAGCTACACGGCCCTCCACACAAGGGGTGCTCAGGAGTCTCCGATCTCCTGACCTGGACTTGCACTGCCTTCCCTCCCCGCCCCCAATGTTCAAGAAGCCCAAAGAGAGGCTGGCCTAGGCACCAGCCCAAACCCAGAGACAGACCTCACTGTCACATGCCACCTCAGCTGTATTACTGCCCCCACAAGGTCAGAGACACCACTCACCACAATGTTAGCAGCTATGACCTCAGGATCCACACAGATGGACTCCACAAAAAAGGTCTTCGGCAAGGACAAGGGCCGGCCGGAGGGAAGGAACCACAGACACATTCAGGGTCCTGGGCCTGGCTCCATGGAGCTCCCACCTCCCTGATGGCCAGGGTGACCCCAGGCCCTTCTTCTGGGGGTGGGGACAGGGTCGAGAAGCCCCCAACCAAACTAGGTGCCATCCTATCCAGGACCCTCCCATAAGATGCCCACCTCCCCCAAAAGAAAACCCCAGACAGAGAGGAAATGGCAACTCCTGTATCCCACGTCCACTCTGGAGCCCACCTGCCTGACACCTGCGCACTTCAGGAGGCTGTGAGAGGGGCCCGGGGCGGGGGGTCCAAATGTGCCACAGCCCGACTGAGGAAGTGAACCAAAGACGCCTCACCTTGTAGCCATTCTGTTCCCCAAAATTAAAGATGGTCGCTCTCCGCTCTCGGGTGGTATTCGTTGCATCAAAAACCTAGGACCAAACCAGGTTCACTCGGACTCTGGCCCTGGAGCAGGGGGGAAGCCAGCCGACAGCGGCTGCAGAGGAACCAGATTTCTCACGGGGACCAGCTCATGCCCAGGCCACCCGCCTGGCCGGTCTCCTTTAGACCTGCGACGCCCGGGCCGGGCCGCCCCTCCCTCGAGGAACACGCCTCAAGGAAGCTGGGAGGAGTGGGTACCTGTGTTCCTAGCAGGCACTCAGTCCATGCTTGGCCAACAGGACTTCCTGTAAAACCAGTTAAACATGGAGTGCGGAACCCCTGTTTATCTCCACTCCATCCCGAGACTCCACGAAGATGGGAAAAGAAGAATAAAGAGAATGGAAGAGGAGATGTCGACAAAATGTGGGGGACTGACTCGGAGAGACGGAGCAAACCAAACATAAGCCCTCAGCCTGCACAGCACACCCACCCGTGCAGAACGGGCAGCATCAGGAACAGGACCCAGGTGTCTCGGAGAAAAGGAACAAGGGTGTAGAGGAAAAGGGGGGCCCGCCCGGTGGCGCAACTGAGAGCAGGTGGAGCCCCAGGCCCCCTCCCTGCCTCATCCGGCCAGGCTGACCCGTCTGGGGCTCCTCCTGAACCACCTGGGGCCCGTCCACGTGCCCTCAGGGGTGACCCACTCACCCGCGCGTCTAAAAGCAGCTTTTAGAGCATCACTTTTTTTAAAAGGGCATTCAACCAGGGCTCAGGGGCTGCTCCAGCAAAACCCCGAATGTGAAAAACAGAGACTACATAAAAAAGAATAAAAGGAGCTTTGAGAAAATGAAGACAGGACAGAGAACAGAAAGATATGACAAAAAAACAAAACAAAACAAAAACCTTACAACTGTTATCTAAAGAGAGAGACAAAATACTGCAGTAACCCCCAAACAGAAACAGAGTTCTAAAAAACTGGAACATTCAGTGATGAGAAATTTAGAATTCAGAAACTAAAACAGGATCACAGAAATTCTTTAAAAATTCAACCGAATGCTTGTACGATAATGTTGAGATAGTCTCCCTGAAAATAGAACACAAGTGACAGAGATAGGCAATCAGGAGGAAAAAAAAAAGATATAATTAGGGCTCAAGCCCAGCATGAAACCACCAGGAGTTCTAGAAGAAGCAGCTCAGAAAAATGGGAGTGGAGCAGAGAATCAATTGTCAGAAACTGGTGGGGGTGGCTTATCAAAGTAATAACAGGTGACAGGTTCCCTGACCTGTTAGAAAAGAGTTTCTCATTGGAGAGGGCCGCCCCGGGACCCAGCATGGCGGAGAAGACCCATCACAGGGCCCTAAAGTTCTCCCCAGAGAAAAGGGCATGGGCAGCCCCAGTTCCCTCCAAGAGATGAAACTTTTGGGAAGATCAGCAAATCAGAATGCCATCCGACTTTTCCACAGCTACTCGAGAAGCCATACTACAACAGAGCGATGTTGTGGAAATTCTAAAGGAAAAATACTTCCCACCTAAACCCAACCATCAAATATGAGGATAAAAAAAGACATTTCCAGACACACAAGATCTCATGTGAGGTAATTCCCAAGTACCTTCCTCAGGAAGCTACTGGAGTACGTGCTCCAACTAAACAAGTCAGTAAACGAAGGAAAAAGAAGACATGGGGTCTGCGAGCAAGGCTTCAACTGGGGAATCAGGAGGAGGGAACTCCCGAGACCCAGAAGGTAACTGATCCAGATGGGGCTGGGGGATTATGAGCTGCAGGAAGCACGCCTCCAAGAGGAAAAAGGAAGGAAAAAGCAGCTCCTGTGTTTGACTGCATAGGGGGAGAGGAGGGGCCTTTCCCATAGACACCCTTGCTCAACCTCATCCCACCCATCCAGCTGACAGGAGGGGCCAACACATCGTTGGAATTCCATTACCCAGGATTCAGCGGGTTCCTGGAACAGCCACTAAGTGTGGGGCAGGATTCTCCCCAGACCAGAAGAAATCACATTGGCTAAAGACTTAGGTAACAGATACCACATGTGGTGACCAACAATGTGAGTATTCAGAAGGAAGTCCTACTGGGTCAAATGCAACCACAAGCCCAGAGGGAAATTCCCAGCACACATCCAGCCTCTGGCTTCTTCCTTTATAGTGGCTGTAGACTTCCTCCCAGGGCCCTGCACACCCTCTCTTCCCTGCCAGACACCTGACCAGCGAAGGGCTAGAAGTAGCTAGGCTCCCACATGCCACTCCCAGAAGTCGCGGGGATGTCCCACTCACCGCCACGTGTCCCCCCTCCTCACTGAGGAACCGCCGGACATCACAGAGGGCTGCCAGTGCACACTGCCTTCAGAAGAGAAAACACAGGGTCAGCCCTGCACCCAACCGTGGCCGCAGGAGGGCCACAGATCAGAGACACATCCTACCCCAGCCCGGAGAGGGCCCAGTCCCTGGGGCCCCTTCTCCTCTCAAGGGCTCTCTTTCCTTGAGGTCATTTCAGTGCTTTTGCTAACTCTGCTGTAAGTGGAAGGCTATGTGCTCCTGGCCACTGGGGATATATTTTTTTAAGATTTTGTCAGAGAGAGAGCACGCGCACAAGCGGGGGAACGGCAGGCAGAGGGAGAGGCAGATTCCCCACCAAGCAAGGAGCCCGATGTGGGACTCGATCCCAGGACCCTGAGATCATGACCTGAGCCGAAGGCAGACGCTTAACAGACTGAGCCACCCAGGCGCCCCTTACCTGCACTTTCTTCATGCAAGAGTAAAGTTAGATCTTCTTCCATTTGTTTGAACTTCGGATTGGGTGCGTAAACCCCAGCGCACCCAAGGGCAGTGCTGCCGGGCCTTTCACTGGCCGGGCCGCCGTGCCCAAGCATGGAGGCACAGGCCAGGCAGAGCAGGGGGCAGCCCGCTGGGGTCAGGGGCAAATTGGTGGCAGAGCTGAGTCCGCATGCCTGGAAGGAGCTCTGCTCCTATGCCTCTTTGTGACCTTTCTGCGCCCCGGTGGGTCTTTCGGTTAAAACTTCAAAGAGCTTTCCTCTGCCAAAACCCCCTGAATTCTGAGAGTCTGGGAAACTGGCACTGCCAGAGCCATTTCTGGCCAGCCGCACGAGCACCCCAGGTCCTGGGCTAGGATCAGTGGGTTGCTCTGGCTGAGGCAGCACCAGGAAAGAGGGATCTCAGGGCTCCAGTGGAGATGGGGGATGAGCAGCCTGTGAGCCTGAGCATTTGGGGGTGTGGGTGTGAAGCGGGGGCAGGCGTATGGGACTGAGCCCTTCACCTGTGCAGACTGATGCTAACTCCAGGTGGACCGTGGATGCTAACTCCAGAACTGGCCTGAATGGAATTGTTAGCCGCACGTGCACGTGCCCACGGGCGGGCCTGTGGGCTTGTGTGCGGTAGGAGACCGAGTGTGCAAGTATGAATGTGCCTCGTGGCGTATGTGTACACGTGACCTGCACGTGTGCACGTGACCCTGCATGCCCTTTCCTGGACCTTCCACTGTGCCCAGTGTCAGGGACAGACACCAACGCTGTGTAGCTTCCAGGGACCTCAACAATGTGTGGTCACCCAGGGCTCTGGGAAATTTAGCCTTCTCTTCGCAGCCTTCCCATTTTAAAAAGTCTGATCCTTCTATGTTGCCAATCACCTGTGGGACCTCCTAGGCTGGTCATTGGGAAATGGTCCTGAAGCCCAAGGGCCAGAGCCAGCCTTTAGATTCAGGAGGGAGGGTTTCTAGTAATAGCCAGAGGGTGTGCCTGCAGACAGGCCCCCGTAAACCTGCCCCCAGCTTCTCCTACTGGGGCCTCTGTTCCAGCTGGGCCACCCTGGACTAGCTCCCCAACCTCTCCAAGTCGGGATTTCCCCATCTGAGTTAATCTCAATACTCCTACCTTCGACAGGAGGCCTGAGCAGATTTACTGGTGGGCCCTGGGAGGGCCAGCTCCCTTATTCTTCCCACAGACACTTTGGATTCAGACAGGCCTGGCTTCAAATTCAAACCCTGCGTGATCCGACACAGTACCATCACTTTCAGACCTTGCCTCCGCATCTGGGGGAGTGAGGTGACACCACCGGCCGCATGCAGGGGAGAGCAAATAAGCTGGTCGGTGCCCACAGCTTGAGATTGTTACAGAATTTGCACGGGATACAGCCTCTGCCCTACTAACTGGGTAACACTAGAAAGATGGGCACAGCGGTTTTTAGTGGTATGGGCTAAAGATTCAAGGCTGGGCTCTGGGAAGTAACTTGTTATCTTGTGTGAGACTCCTGAACCTCAGCTTCCTCACCCGTAAAACAGGGAGGAGGAGTGACAACGGGCAGCATGCACCCCAAACACAGCAGGAGTTCAAATATCAGTTCCCTCCCTTTTGTCTGGGTCACCAGAGGGTCCAGCCTCCAGTTTTACCCACAATTCGGACAGAGGCCTGAACGTCAGACTCCCCTGCCCTTTCCTGGTGCTGCTGCAGCCTGGCCGCGAGCCCACGCTGGGGAAGGGCCAAGCCCCACAGTGGGGAGCTCTTGCCCCCTGGTGGCCAGAGACAGCGCAGACAGCCTAGTATCCAGGCCTGGGCAACAACCCAGGAGCTTCTGGCCTGGAGCTCCACTTGATTTGGGGAGGTCACTAGAGCTGGGCCAACCTCTGCTAAATGCCCTACCACAGTGGCTGGACCCAGAGCAAGGGCAAGGAAGCTTCTTGACCCCTCAGCTGATACCTGCCCAAAAGAGCACAGATCCTCAGACCACCAGTTGGTGTTCTTGGTTCAAGTCTGAATAGGGCAGGGAGGGCAAGAGGTAGGGTATCATATGCAAATTCATGAATGAGAACAGGAGGGTGAAGTCTGAGCCACATGAAAGCAAAGCCAAGGCCTGTCCTACCCATGCCAAGAACATGCCAAGCACATGCCGAACATCCTCCAAATTTATCCCGGGGCAAGGGAAGGAAGGATGCGGTTCTGGGCCCAATCCTTCTAGCTTCGTGAGAAGGTGCCAGGAGGTAGTCCCTCTCCCACTCTGCCCCATCCCAGAGGCCTGTGTCCCTGCACCCACGGGGTCCCCCTCCTTACCAGAGGCCATGCCCACGAAGGGCCTGGGGTAAGCAAGTGAGAGGTCTCTGCAGCCGGCCCATGACCTGCCCTGGCAAGGTCTCCTCCATCTCTCTGAAGCCCCATCTTCCCCTCCCATAGGATGTCCTTACTAAGGGTTCATGAATCCCAGGGCAGAGCCAGCCACCAAGAGGCCATACACCTGGGGCACCTGGGTGGCTCAGTCAGTTAAGTGTCTGCCTTCAGCTCCGGTCATGATCTCAGAGTCCTGGGATCAAGCCCCAAGTCAGGCTCCTTGCTCAGCAGGAAGCCTTCTTCTTCTCCTTCTCCCTCTGCCCCTTCCCACCGCTCATGCTCTCTCTCTTTCTCTCTCTGTCGCAAATAAATAAATAAAATCTGAAAAAAAAAAAAAAAAGAGGCCCTACACCCTTTCCCGATGTCCCCATATCCAACACATCCCCAACCCCACCACATCCTGAGAGGTCAGGAGACCAGCCCTGTTGCAGGCACAGCAAGGCCAGGGCTCAGGAGCAGCTGGGCACCTGGGCACCTGGGCTCCAGGGTCTTCTCTGTAAACACACATAATCACACACATACACACACTCACTTCCTGATTTTTAGGCCCTCTTCATTGTCTGGAAGGAAAAACTCAAAAGACTTGTACGTCTTGACCATGTCCCGGCGATACTGGCCAACGTTGAATTCTGGGGGAAAGAAAGGCCCAGCTTTCACACAGCAACAGCCCTCCACAGTTCTTGACCTTGACCCACCCCCGGCCAGCCTTCTCTCTTCCCTTCCCCTCCTCCACAAAGCCCCAAGGCCCCCTTGGAAGCCAAGGCCAAGTCTCACCACGAGTGGGCACGCCAATCCAGTTCAGGTAGCGAGTCAGCTTCTTAGAGATGTAGGTCTTGCCCCTGGCGGGCAGGCCTACCATGACAATGAGCGTCGGGCAGTTGGTCATGCAAACTGAAAGGCAAGCAGGCCGTGTCAGATAGGGGCTGGGATGCCTTCCAATGTGCCCCTCCCTCTGCTCCCCACACAGGATATCAGACGGGCCTTCCAGGCCTCCTGGCCTCAGACGCTGGTCTCGAGCCACCACTGGCATAACCCCGCTGCCCAGGCCTGTCTGGGCTCCAGCAGTGCAGATGATCTCATCAGCCCCTTATGCTGATGGGTGCCTCGGATATAAAGCTGGACCTGCCCCGCCCCTGAATGAACAGGCAGGACAGAGCCAAAGCCCAGGAGATAGTCAACGCCCACCTGTCATCCAGGAATCCCACACCCCGCACAGCCTTTCAACATTCCTGCTAGCACAGTTCCACTGCTTACCCTCCCTGCTGGGAATTTTGCCTCATCTGGTACAAAGCCCAGCTCAAAAGCTGCTTCTTCAGTGAGACCTTCTTCCCAGCCACCTCCGTGCTACCCCGGCACACTCCCTCCATCCTGATCACCTCACCCATGAGTCTGCCCCCTGCACCTGATCACTTGGAGCGAGGGCAGCCCTGCAGTGTCTGAGCCATTCTGGATCATGTGGTCTGGCACAGAGTTGGCGCTCAAAAATTATGGGGGGGGCTGGCATCTCGAAATCACCCAGGGTGAGTGCCACAAGGGGCTGAGACCAGACACCTAGACCAATGTCCACAAGGACTGTCCCTCAGACGGCCCACCTGCCACCATCCCACGTGCTGCCAGGTCAGTGCGCCAGCCAGAGAAGTTGCCGAGGCCAGAGGCGGGGACAGGTCTGGACACAGCATCCCCAAACCCTGGCCCACTGGGACAGACACCAAGACAGCAAAACTACTGGCCTCACGTGACCCGGCTCCACTTTCAGTGTGGCCTCACTGCAGAAACCTTAGAAAGCTTCCCTTCCACCGTCCCCAGCACCTGGGCCATGTGAAACCACAGCAGACAGGCGGCCCATGTGGGCACCTGTCACTGCCCCTTCTTTGTCCCCAGGGCTCTTCAAGTGCCTTCTCCTGGTAGCCCTTCTTGGGGACAGCCTGCTGGGCCCTACCCCTCAGCTTGTCTCCCTCACTGGAGCTGGAGCACAGAGGCCCCAGGGGCAGCCCTGTCTAGGGCTCAGGTGTCAGGTCTGGGTTCCTCTCTTGACTCTGATCATGACTGGCAACTCTGAGCCTTGGTGTCCTCACCTGTCAAATGGGATGATAAATGCTCAGTGAGGCCTAGCACTATCTCCAGGTAAAAGCCAGGGCATGCCTGGGAAGCTGTGCCCCCTGACCGGCCCTGAGGACACAGGTGCACCTCAGCACCCACTGCCCTTGGGACTCGGGGTGCAGAGGCACCTGTCCGTCTCTAGGCAAGCCCTCAGAGAAGTAAAGGGCCCTGCTTGCCAGTGGGGGCTCCATCGCTCCTGTACCTGACCTTTGGGCAAATGTGACCCAAACTGTGAGCCTCAGGGGAGGGAAGGAGAGGATCCCACAGAACACAGGCCAACAATGAGCAAGAGTGAATTTGCAGAAAAACACCAGCATTGGCGAAGGTGAGAGAAAAGCAAGTTAGGCAAGGCCCTGCATCCTGAGAGCCAGTGACACTGAGGCCTGTGCTGTTTGCACAACTGCGGGTCAGGGCTCTCAAGCAACCAAAGGGCAGTGAATCAGCTACTAAGCACGGGGGAAGCCTACACACCCAGCCTGCTCCCCTCCTTCCCACTGCTCCCTGAAGGGCTCTCCCACAACCTCAGGAGTGGGGTTCTGCATCCCTTCTTCACATCTCCTACCTTCCCAGAGACAGCCCTGGCCTTCTCCCCCAGTGTGTGGTGACAGGATCTCCTCCCTGGTCCCATGCACGGCCACAGTAGGCAGGCAGGGTGGTCAACCAGGACTGGGTGCAAAACAAGAGCAATAAATTACCTATCAACTCTTTTCCTCAAGATAAGCTCCCAAGGAAATGACCCAAAGAAAGCTCAAAGTACAAGTGTGTTTGCAGTAGCTCTGCTTACAACAGCAAAACATAAGCAAGCTAGCAGAGGAGGAATTACAAACGGAGGCCCACAAGACAGCACACCACAGGGCCTGAACAGAGAGAGCATATGCACCAGGGGAGCTGGGGTGCAGCCGAAGCTGCAGCTCTGGGCCCTTGAGAGCCTCGCTACTGAGCAATTACACAGCAGAACCTGAGGCTTATGTGCAGAAGGAGATTTGCAGACATGTCCATTCAACTTACCTCACTCGTTCCTTTTCCTATAAATTTGCTTAGGGCCGCAAGTGCCCTAGGAATCAAGAGGCCCGGGACAAGCCTGGTGCTACCCTGTGATGACTTTCTGGTGGGCCACCTCAGGGGCAGCCACAAGTCCTGGAGAAGGTTCCAGAACTGCACCTGCTCCCACTTCCTTGGGGCCAGGCTGGGGAAGGGAGAACTCTTTAAAAAGAAAGCAACCTGGCATCACTGTCCTGTTCAGAGGGGACAGAAAGTCACCTCTCCTATTGTCCTGTGCACATTCCAGTTGTGTCCCTAGCCAAGAAGTTCTTGCTACCTTTTTGCTAATAAAGGCTATCACCAGCACTGTCCTTTCTGGCATGCTCCGAGTCCTTTCTTCAGCCCCTGCCCGACCTGCCCCCAGAGCTCCTCCAAGGCTGAGCTGAGGCGTAAAAGATGAAGAAGGTAACAGCTTCCAGGCCCTCATGCTTAGCTCTGAGTTTCACCAAAGGAATAAGAATTGCTAATGGAGAGTAGGGGTGGAGGAGGCACAGCCGCGCAGCCCCTGGAGCCCTCAGGGGCCAGGGACTAAACGCCAAAGACAACCCACTACACAGCACAGACCAACCAGGGGCTCCATATCCTCTTCTCTACAAAGCCCTGTGATCGGGTCAGCTTCCACCCATCCCCCACCCTCAGGTCCTCACCTGTCTTTGTGGTCTTCCACCAAGTTATAAATCTACCATACAGGGGGTAAAATGCTACATGAAAACAGGCTCTGGGGACTGCGGGTGCTGCCCAGACAGGTTCCATGTTCACTCATGGCTTACTCCCTGCTGTGAACTCAGGGACCCTTGCCTGGGGCCCAAACCCCCATACAATCTGCAGGTCTCATCTTCGGTTTCTTGGGTGCCTCCTCCTCCAGGAAGCCCTCCTGTGGTGGGCCAGTCCAGAGTCTCACCTACTGTAACACCCTGAGACAGTGCCACACAGAAGGCCCTCTGCTCAGGCCAGAGGCATATTTTCACCGCATCCTTGGAGCTTGGAGAAACACAGGCCCCTCCCCACTGGGCCTCAGCATCTTTGCCATCTGGAATGGGGGTTGGCTCAGAGCTGATGCTTCAGTTCCTGATTCTGAGGTACTGAGAAGCAAAGAAGGGTGGTGGCGAAATGACAGCACCAGCTGCCACCACTTATCAAGCATCTCCTTGAAAAGAGGCTCACAGCAGCTCCTGGGAGCTGGGATGATGACTGTCTCCACCCCACAGATGAGGAACCCATGGCCTAGCGGGTCAGCTCCTTGCCCAAGGTCACACAACTGAGCCATGATGCGGCTTGAGTGTTCCTGCCTTCAAAGCCCAGGTTCTGACTTCTTCCCCTTTATGTAATAACAGCGGCCATTCCCTCATTAGGACAACACAGACTGGCTAGAAGCACAAGAGCAAGGGGCCTTGGCCTTGGTCCCTCCAGAAAAGCCTGGAAGGAGGGCGGGCTAGGCGGTCGCCATTGCCTCTCAGGACTGAGTATTGACTGGAAAGCCATCGCTCCGGGGCTAAGAGCCTGATCACCACCTCAGCATCCTACCCGGACCTACATCATGGTCAGAGCCATGACCCACCAGAATGCCCGGTCAAAACCATGGCCACCCCCTACCAGGACCCAGTGTGGTAAGAGATACACACAGCCCACCCACAGGACTTACATCTTGGTCAAAGCCAGGGCCCCCAGGCTGGCCTCAAGGCAAAACAAGAACAGAGCACTCTCCCCTCCCTTATCATGCCCAAGCAGAGGTCAAGGAGTACAGGGAGACCTTAGCACATCACACAATCTCCTGATCTCCATTTCTATATCTGTACAAGTTGGACTAGATGTTCTCTGAGGTCCTTGCCAACTTGCAAATTCATTATAATGTTTCAGCTACTCCTAAAAAAACAAACAAAAAAACCTTTGTTTTTCTTGGCAATAAGTGATTGCAGACTCATTTAAGAACAAGCAGAAAGTCAAGTAAAGTGGATTAAACACCGGGATCCCAGGAAAGGCGAGCCCCTTAACAATTCCTTAACAATTTCATGAATTTCAGCATGTCTCCTGGATGTTTCCCCCTCCAACTTTATCATTCACCCACGACCCCGCCTGGATGCACCCCATGGACACAAAGACAGGTCCATATGGGACAGTGTTCTCACCTTCTCCATCCTCAGCACAACTGCACTTCCCTGAAATTCCTCCCAAAGCTCGGTTTTAGCCCCAGAGGTGGGTAGTTCAGGCCAAGGGGACTGGCCCACCTTTGGGCCTCTGAAAGTTCTGGGCTCAGAAAGGTCAAGCGATTTCCGTAAGGCCAACACAGCTCAGACCTGGCCGACGCTCTCTGGCCTGAAGTGAATGGCAGCAGGAGGCTCCGAATCCTCCCCTGGCCTGACCTGGTGGGTACAGACTCGGGTGAGAAGGGGCCGGAGGTGATGGTGGCCGGACCTAGCCCCTAGCGAGGGGAGACGGCCACGTACCTGTCTCCGCCCCCTGTTCTGCCACACCTGTGCCCAGCCCTCGACCTGTTCCTGCTCCCCTACCACCAGTCACGGCAGCCTCACCTGTCCCCTACCTGGTTCTTGGCCCCCTTTCCGTGCGAGACCACTGCCCAGGCCGCCCTATCCACCCAACCCCGTGCACCACCCTCCCCTTTTCCACGGACCCCGCCTCACCACGGCGCTGGCAGGCGTGCAGAGCGGGCCTCCCATTGCTGTACGGTATCCAGATCTTCTTCAGGGGGTTCTGGGTCAGTTCCCGTGGGGACGCCATACCCGGGACGTGATGAGTCGGACTGCGCGGCTTCCGACCCAGCAGCCAGGCCACCTCGGGCCACTCGAGGCCCCGCCCCCAGGCCCCGCCCCTCCTCGAGCCTCCTTGAGCCAGTCAGACTCCCCGCAGGCCCCGCCCCAGAACGAGTAGGCCCTACCCCATCTGAGGAGAGCCCGGCCTCCGATCACGCATGCCCAACTCGCCTGCCAGCCGGTTTTAGACCCAGCAGGCCCACCCTTCGCGCCGGGATTGGGGACGCGCATGCCCAACTCCGCACAGGTTCAGGGCCTGGATCACAGTGCGGACCCTGTCGGGGATGCACGAGCCCAGCACGCCCAACGGGACCGCGCAGATTTGCATCGGCCTCATCCACCGCTTCGATTTGCACAGCCTTGCCCGCAGGGCACCTGGGTTCCGTTCACTGCTACCGCTGATCTCAGGGCCCCCGGGAGGGAGGGATCTGCAGGCCAAGGAGCTGCGCCTGTTTGACCCGCAGGTCTCAGTTGGTCAGGACCAGTCTGGTGGCCCCTGCGTTATGCCAGTTGTCAACCGCTGCGCCCCCCAGCCGTGTGTCCCGACCCTCTCTCGAGCCCCAGGATTCTTCCTCGCCCACTGGAGTGACCGGCGCAACCACGCTGGAAAAATCTTTTACCTCACGGACAGGGACATCTCAAAATTGTTTCCTCTCTTTACCTTGGCCGCTCGGGAACTCAGGCTAAACTCCAGCCCACCTGGAGCACGTGAGCAGAACCTTTTAACCAAGGTCCCTGGGGACTCACTGAGCCCTGGCAGTATCTTACTTCTTCCAGGATTTCATTTTTACCAATTAAATTGTAAATTGTTAATTTGCATATGTTAAAAATGATCCTCCATCTCATCATCGGGAAAGTAGAATGCAGGCATCATCAACCTTATAGGATTCTGGTATAGATTAAATGTGTCAGTGTCTGAGAAATCCTTTCTAAAGCACATTAGTGATATCATTTATATTACTTATCTCCCTCCTGTCTCTAAGAATGCAGTAGAAGCAAAGGGCAGGGGAGAAATCCAGAAGTTCAGGAACCCTGGTTCGTTCTCCTTTGTCTCCTCAGGCCAGCTTCTCCAAGTTCTGTACACTTTCTGTCCTGGGGCCCCCCACCGACACTGCTCAAAGCTGGGTCACACTGCCCTCTAGCGATGTCCTCCACAAAACCCCCAGACAGGATCATGACATCCTCAGGTTCTCTCTCACCAAAGTGTGTCCGGCCAGGATAACAAGACTCTGCCCAGCGCACCACAGGTGCAGCACACCCCTCCCTCTGACCTCCCTGCCACACCTTGTCTTGTCTCCACCCAGCACTTCAGAGCCTGGCAAGGACCCTTAAGATAACTCTGATATAGATGTCTTGCCCCCTTCACGGGAGATGAAGGTTCAGGAGGCGGAAGCCCTCCTAGATCCTCCCTAAAACCAGCTCTAGCCACCTACCCCAGGAGGAATGCCCTGCCCCCAGACAGAGCTGAGCACTTCCTCCTTCATCCTTCCTCTGCAGTGTCCACCCCCCACTTCCCTCCACCTGACGCAGAGGCAGCTCTGAGCACACCCGTGGGCAGCTCCTGATGAGCAGGATACCCCTTGTGACAACCCGCCCACTTTCCTAGTTCTCCAAAGCCACTCATTCTGTTCCTGACACAGCCAGCCTTGCCATCTGTCTCCTAGCCATTGCCAAGGCCATCCCGGGGCCACCTTGACCTCAGAGACCTTATCACCACCCGCCCACACCCTGTCCACCCCCCAGCAGTTATTGCAAAAGCTACGTGCTCTAGCATCCACAGTCACCCAGCACTTCCTCTGGCCTGCCCATTCTCCTCCTCAGCCCTCTTGGGATGTTAGTCAAAGGCTGGGGGTACAGGGTAGCCAGAGCAGGGCAGGATGCCAGGGCCATTTAGAGGAAACTTTCCCCACGCCCAGACAGTCTGAGCCTAGCTTCCCAGGAAGAGCCGTGGCTCTGTACCTCCCACTCTTCCCCAAACAGTCTGACCCTGGGCTGACCCAGACACACCTTCCCAAGTCCCCACATCCAGTGGGAGGCCACAGGTTACCAGCAGGAGGAGCCTGGGACTCCTCCCCAAGGCCAGAGTCTACCTCTGCTCTAAGAATATTCTTCATCTCCCTGCCCATTTCTCGAGTAGGAAACAGGGAGGGGAGCAGGACCCAGGGTCACAGAGTCAGCCCAGAGTGCAGGATGGACTCAGATGAACTCCCAGCCCTTCCAAAACCTCACCTCCCACATCTTCCATGTCACCACATTTCCCACCCCTACACCTAGGCTCTGGTTTGTTCCCTCCAATGCCCTCTTGCATCAGTAGATGCCCAGTAGAACAGCCAGCCTTCATGGCTTTTCCCTCCTTGGGGCCATCCCAAAGTCATGGGGTGGAAAGTATACTGGGATGTCAGCATGCACTGGTGTGTGACTATGTTCTGCTTAGCCTTCCCACTCCTCTATGAACCTGCCTGGCCTGGCCCAGGTTGGCTCCAGTGGTGCCCTCTGCACTGACCACTGGGCCTCTCTCCAGTGTCCCTGGCTACAAGCTATAGGGTGGCTGAAGTCCTAGCTCCTCAGTTCTCAGTGCTCAAACTCTTCCCCATCCCTGGATTGGCTGGTCAGTCCTGGCCAGACTTTGCAGCCTAAAGGCCCAGGGACCTCAGCGAATGCCACACAGACCCACATGCCCACATGCCCGTGCACAGAAGCCTGCACACAGAGCCTCACGTGCGTGCACACTAGCAACCCAGGCCTGCACAGAGACAGGCATGCTGCCGCGGCCTGCTGCTCTCTACTGCCTCCCTTCCCCTTTATTTCCCTCCTCCTCTCCCCTCCGCTGCCACTGGGAGGTTCAGGGAGTTCCTGGGAGTTCCAGCTTCCTCTGAGCACTTCAAGCCAAGGATCATTCCCGGTATCTCCCTGGGCCCAGAGCTCACAGAGGGTGTGAGGTTCCAACTTGGGGGTATGGAGCCATATGACTGAGCAGCCTGTGACCTGTGGTCCGCACTTGCTGATTCCAACTTGGCACAGGGCACACAGTAGGTGCTCAAAGTGACTCAGGGCCAGCCAAGGCACACAGTTAGGGCTCAGAGAAGTTCATGACCAGGACAGAGCACACAGTAGGTGCTTAGAGCAGCCCAAGACCCACACAAGGCACACAGTAGGTGCCCTAGAAATGCTGGTTTAAGGGCTAAAGCCACTTCATATGAAAAATTTTCCAAATGAGCCCCTGGGCCTCCCCAAAATGATGTGTGACCCCTGAGGGGGGACCTGGACAAACATGACCCCCTTGGAGGCCAGCAAAGGGCAGAGCATGAGGGCCTCCGGCAGCTCCAGCTGGCTGTCCCTCTCTCTGGGCTGGAGGAAGAAGCTATTTATAGTTCCCCTTGGCCCAGCCCCCCCACTCCCCTGAAAGGCGACAGTGTTCCCCCTCCTCCTTGCCACTGACAGGCTGATGCCCCCTCAGAGCACCCCTACACTTAGAGAGACCCCCAACACCCTCACACCTCTTCCAGCACCACCCCCACTGCGCTCTGGTCGTTCCCCCAACCTCCCCCCCTCCCCCGCCGCCCGTGCCTACCCCGCCTGCTGCTCCCTGACCCGGGGTCCGTCAGGGCGCTGCCTCCCTCCTCGCCTCTGTCCATCCTGCAAGCGAAGTGGCCCGGGCAGCCACCCCCTGCAGCCTGGAGCCGGGCAGCCCCGCCCTCTGGGTGCCGGAGGGAGCTGCGGTGTGCCCCGTGTGGCCCCGCCTTCCCAGCCCCGCCCTGGGCCCGCCCCCCAGGGCCGCTCACAACTTGAGAGTCCAGCAGTGCCCCCACCCCAGGCAGCCCTACTCCCGGCCCCGTGGCCTCCCTCTCTGGCCGGAGCAGTCCATATTGCCCAGGGTCTGCCCTTGGCTCCAGCCAGAGCCGTCTACACTATCTAGAGTTTCCGCCCCATCTGCGGGCAAGCCTGTCCACACCGGTCAGAAGGTCAGTCCCATCTCCAGCCCAGCAATGGAGCTGGTCATGTGAGATTAGGGAAAACCGATTCCTTCCACACCGAGGGACCAGGTTGGTGAAATGGGTGTGTGGGGGGGGGGGGTGGGCAGAGGGGCAGCATAGCCAGCTATGACTCAGCCCTGGGTCCCCATGACCATGACCCTCGTTCATCCCATTCTCCAGGCACTGCATTTCTGGAGCTCTTTCCTGAGTGCCAGAACCTTCACGTACACTGTCCCTTGGTATTCGCAAGAAGCCTGGTGGCATCACTGCTCTACAGAGGAGGAAGCTGAGGCTTGGAAGGATGAGCACGTTTGCTCCGGACAGTTGGATAAAGGAGGGACAGAGCTGGGCTGCAGCCCCGGCAGCCTGAGCCGCGCATGTCCAAGGGCCACGGCTGAGTGTGCAGGCGTGTGGGTAGGACAGTGCCTGGCTGTGCATTGAGCGTGCTTCATGCTGGTTTGGGGGACAAGCCCCTGTTGCGCGCAGCCCCCTCACCTTGCCCTCACCTGGCCCACCCACAGTCACAGATATCAGATACGCAGAGACGCAGCCGCCCATGCACGCGTACGCCTGCCACAAGGCAAGGCTACCACAGCCACAGACTTGCCACATCCGGCCACCCATGCCTGGAGATGCCCCTGATGGCCCCTTCATCAGAGGTGGGTGCTGCCTCGGGGAGCACAAAACATGCGTGTGACCCTCAGCCTGCACTTCCCTGGGTGGTGACCCATGGGGGGCAGGGCAGACCTGCGGGTCTGGTCTTAGGCGGACTGGTCTCAGATAACATGTCAGGCTCCTGTGCTGAAGTTTCTAAAAGTGGCGCAAGAGTAACCACATTGAGTGTCTGGATGCTCTTTGACCTTGGGGCATCCAGACATGGCGAGACTCCACACAGTAGTGACATTCCACAGTAGCGTCCAAGCTGTCCAGACATATTGGAAGTCTGTGGGGCTCCAGGCGTGGCAAGACTCCATTTGGCAGCCCCCCAATCCGGCAACGTCCAGGCTATGCAGACACACCGTGGCTCTGAGAGGCACTCAGCTGTGATATGACACCATCTGGCAGTGACCCCACAGGGAGGTGGCCAGGCAGGCGCACCATGCCCAGATGGAGCGCCGTCCTGTTCTGCCACCGCCTTCCAGGTCTCCTGATCCGGGGTGGTCCCATCATTGTGACCCCTACCCTCCGGCTCAGCGGCGGCCAACGTGGGCCAGGATGCGAGCGTTGGTGGCGGCCTGCTCCCTCGCAGCTCTGGCCCGGGCCTGCTCCAGTAAGATGTGCAGGAGGCCAATGGGGACATCCAGCGAGAGGGTGATGCGGGGGCCCGGGCGGGGGCCGGGGCTGGGGTGGCCCCAAGCAGTGGAGGGGCCTGTGGTGCTGGCTGAGGTGCTGTCCGAGGCCACGGGGCAGGCAATGGCCTGGGGAGGGTTCTGAGGGAGGACCTGGGAGGCTGGGAGAGGGGTTGCAGGGACAAGCAGGGCCCTGCCCAATGTCAGAACCATCGGCACCAGCAGAGCCCACCTGGTCATCGTGGTGGTCAGGCTGCAAGGAGAAAAGAGGCTCAGGGCAGGGGCTCTGGGCAGCCAAGGCTCATGGACAGAGACAGATGGGGAAAGCAGAGAGACAGACAGGGAGACTGAGGGAAAGAGGCAGAGAGATTAGAGAGGCCAGGCAAGGGATGGAGACAGACAGAAGAGACAGAGATGAAAGGACAAGACAGCCAGAGTGAGACAGAAAATCCAGCCAGAGCAGGGGCCAGGGAGATAAAGGGAACACAGCTAGATCTAGATGTAGGGATAGAGGTACACTTGGGAGCGGGGCGGGGGGGAGGCGGACCAGAGGAGAGGGAGGCTGGAACCACCCCAGACACAGACAGCATGATACAGAGGAGAGGGAGGCTGGAACCACCCCAGACACAGACAGCATGATACAGAGGAGAGGGAGGCTGGAACCACCCCAGACACAGACAGCATGATAAAGATGGGGATGCAAAGGGGCGCCCGGGTGGCTCAGTCAGTTGAGCGTCTGCCTTCGGCTCAGGTCGTGATCCCAGGGTCCTGGGATCGAGGGCCACATCGGGCTCCCTGCTCGGCGGGGTGTCTGCTTCTCCCTCCCCCTTTGCCCCACCCCCTGCTCATGCACACACAGTCTCTCTCCCTCAAATAAGTAAGTAAAATATTTTCTTTAAAAAATAGGGATGCAAAGACACAGAGAGAACACGGAGGGACAAAAGGGGAGCCTGAGTTCTGGGGGAGCTTGCAACAGATCGAGGACAAGGAAGAGCAGGAATGGGGTCCTCAAGGTGGAGAAGCAGCCAGAGACTCCAAGGCCCCCTCAGGTCCAGAGACCTCCACCAACCCAAATCCCAGATCCACTCAGCCCCCAAGGCCCTGCCCACCCCACCCCACCCAGAGCCTCCCCAGTCCTACCAGCGGCAGCCTCCTCTGGGGCAAGGTGGGGCCGCCGGGGCTGCCCGTGGCTGGGGCCAGGCAGTGCGGTGCTGTGGTCTGGCTCTCTGCTCCCTTCACGGACCATTTATCTCTCTCAGCCCCCTGAGGTAGGAGCTGAGGCATGGCCCCTGGCATGAAGCAGCTCCCCCCCGCCTCTGACTCATCCCCTCCTGGGGAGCAGTGAGGACATGTCCTCAGCCCCCACTTGGTCTACTCCTTTTGGGGGACAAGTTCAGGACTGAGAGTCACAGGAGAGTGACCAGGGCCGGACAGAGGGACTCGGCACCCATGCAGGATAGTACTGACCTCCCAGGGAAAACCAAACCCCCTGCCACCCCCATCTCCCCAAACAGTCACAACAAGGGCCTTTCAAAACAGCAGCTTTAATGCTCCCCCAGAATCAGCACCATGTCATCACAGGCTTGGGTCAAGGGGCGGGTCAGATGCAGTCACATCCGCTCACTGCCCACAGCCACCCCCGCACTGAGTCATCTGCTGGGGAGGCAGGAGCCACAGTGGGGGTTTGTCCACAGCGGGGAAGGCTAGACCCACGGGACCAAGTCACTGAAATAACGGACACGCTCATGCACGCTCACATGCGCACAGGCCTCTAGCACCAAGGGGAGGGACAGCAGGACTCCTCCAGGGGATGCTGAACTTCAGCTGGTCAGCTGGTCACCTGGGCCTCAGCTCCGGGCAGCACCTGTGGGGGCGTGGCAAGTGGGGAGCTGTCTTCAGCCATCTGCCCTTACCCAGCATGTGTGCCCCAGAGAGGCACTGCGCAAAGGATCAGTGGGGCACTGGGGGCATGACAGGAGTGGGGCTCTGACCTCAGAGAGGGGATCCTCACCCAGGTCCTCGGAGGAGGGAGCATGGAAGGGACGCCACAGCTAGGGTTCTCTGTTCAGTTCCTTGGTCTGGGGGTCTGTCCCAGGCCCCCAATCTGAGGGGGCTCCTGACCCGGGCCCCCGACAAGGACCTGATCTGGGGAAGCTCAGGGTCCCGGCTCCTATTGGGGTGGAGGGGTAGGCCCATACCTGTTCCCTGGTTCTGGACCACGCTGGGCAGGCAGCGGCGCTCACAGGCTTCACGGGTCCCGAAACGGTTGGCATTCCCTCCACAGCCACCATAGACAAAGGGGTGACAAGCCTCTTTGCCATCTGCCACCACCCGATGGTACCAGCGCAAGGTGTAGGCAGCACAGGAGCCCTCGTCCAGTGGAAGCAAGCAGGGGTCTAGGGCCAGTGGAGGTCAGGAGGTCAGCAGGGGCAGTGGCCATCAGAGAGGGACTGGGGGGGCCTGCCGCCCCGCCCTGAACCCTTCTGGGGCAGCCCCCGCTCTCACCATCACCTTCCCGAGGAGCTTCAGGGTCTTGGTATTCCTCCACGGAGTACTCAGAGTATTCGTACTCGTCGTCCTCAGGGGGCACCAGGCCTGCACACAGGGTGGGTTTACTGTGACACAGCGAGGCCGCTGTGGGGCCACGTCCATGCTGCCCAACCCTGGCCCTGGGGGCGGGGCGGGCAACACTGGCCTCCCACACATGCAGTGTCCGTGCCATGCCCTGCGTGCTGCCCCTGTGCACGTGGCATTGCCCTGCACGCAGGAGCAACGCCTCATGGGTCTGCACCCCACCACACAGCCCCCCACCCTGGGTCCAGCCGTCCTCACCTTCCTCCTCCGCGTGAGAAACCCGGAGCACAGGCACAGGGTGGAGCTGGGGGCCGGCAGTGTCTGCAGCATAACTGGGGAGGGGTCCTGGAGCAAGGGGTAGGGGCACAGGGCCTTGGGGTCATAACGGTGGCCACCCCAGCCAAGCCCCGGCTGAGTGGACCCAGGTGATGGGCACAGAAGGGCCTGGGATGAGGAAAGTTCCGGGAGCAGAAAATACCAGAAAATTACTCACGTGATCCAGATGCGATGAACTGGCCCTGGCAGGCTGGAGCAGGCGGAGAAGGGCCGGGAGAGAGGCAAGGACAGAGAGCGAGAGACGAAGATGGGAAGCAGCAGGGAGAGAGACAGAGGGACACACACAGGGGGGCACAGGTGGACAGAGAAGGACCACAGGAGAGACCGGCGGAGGGAGAGAAAGAATGGGTGGGAAGCAGAGAGAGAGGGGGTCAGAAGTAGGCGGGCGTGGAGAAGGTTTGGAAGTGGTCAGACAGAGGGACAGGAGGAGACACAGCTTCAGTCTCTGATGCCCACGGGCCTGCTCCCACCTCCACCCTCCACACATGGCCACGCTGGGCTGCTAGGGACACTACGGGAAAGTCCTGTCGGCACGTCTGTCCTGAAGCCCATGTATCCTTCTGCGTATCTATCCATCTCCGCCCATCTCCTTCACTGCTTGAGCCCCGTCAGGTCTGCAGACCCTGCCTGCCCCTGTCTGGGGGAGCTGGGGTGGAGTGGGAATGGGACCCAAGAGGCTCTGGGCTGGGCCACACTCACCGCAATGCTGACTCATCTCCTGACGCACAAAACCTCGAATGTCATCCTCCTGGGAGCACAAGACCACAAAGGGTCATGAAGCACCCATGGATCACGGGAGAGACAAAAGGCCTATGAAGCAGGGCTCACGGAGGGACAGCACTGAGTCAGGGGCCCAGGACCAGGGGGTGAGGGTCCTGGGTGCGGAAGGTGGGGCCCAGCCCACCCAGGCCCACACTTACTGTCAGTGCAGCTTCTCCCTTCTCCCCGCGGGGGCCAGCGGGCCCTGGCCGCCCCTACGCACAACGGATGGGACAGGGCTGTGACCCCTGATCTTAGGGACATCGGAGGTCACCCCGGTCTCCGACCCTATGCCCAGGAATCCCCACTCACCTGCTCTCCTCTCTCTCCAGGGGTCCCAGGGGCTCCAGGGGCACCCACCACTCTCTCTCCGGGGGGGCCTCGCTCACCCTATCAGACAAAAGGACCGAGTGAGCAGTCAGAGGCAGTGGAGGTCAGAAGTCGGGAAAGTTGGAGATCATAGGTTCAGAGACTGGGGCAGGGGCATTGGGGACGGATTGCAGGGTCAGAGGTCAGTGAGGTTGGAAGGGTCAGGGAGGTTCAGGGGTCAGGAGTCAGAGTCAGAGCTCTTTACCTTCTGGCCCTGAAGTCCTTCGGGGCCTTTGGGACCAACACTGCCAGGTGGCCCAGGGGGACCACTAGAGCCATCACTGCCCCTAGGACCTGGGAAGCCCCCAATTCCTGGGGGCCCCTGTGGAGAGACAGGTCAGGGTCAGTGATCAAAACCCCCAAAGATGGACGCACTTCCAGTAAGTACAATCTCCTCAGTTTACCATGACCTTGGTCTCAACTTACCCGCTCCCCTTTCTCGCCCTGGTCACCCTTGGATCCCGGCTGCCCATCAAAGCCTCTGTCACCCTGGGAATGGAAAGAAGCATGAGAGACCGTCTGCGTTGGCCTCCTCAGCTCAATGGCCACAGTCTTCCATGACCCAAGCACCTGTGACCCTACGATCCCAGGACCCTTGGTCTGCCGTGCTCCCCGTGACCCCGACCTTACTGTCATAGGCCTTGCCCTGATTCCACCTATTTCCTTTATACAGACACTCCAACCTCCCCCACTGACCCCTTGGCCCTGATGCACATCTCCCCACTTCACCTCTCATCCCTTAATCCTAAATCCCCACTGTGACCCCAACCCACCCTGAAACCTCAAGACCTACCTCACTCTACCCACCAGCGTCCCAGCCCTCCAAAACCCTGTTGACATGACACCCCCATCACCCTACCGTGATCTTCCCTACCCCATTCTGCCCCCCTTACGTCCACTGTTGAGAGACCCCATACCTTGGGACCGATGAGGCCCTCCTTCCCAGGGGCCCCCGCCTGGCCTGGCACCCCCGGCTCCCCCTGGAGAAGAGAAAACATGAACTGGGCCCTGGCCCACCCATCCTCTCCCCATCCCGGGTGCCCCACACTCACCATATCTCCCTTGCGTCCTGCCAGCCCAGGGCGGCCCAGGGGACCAGCTTCTCCCTGCAGCGATGAGGTGGAGGGGTCAGACGCCGGCCCAGGCCCCGCAGCTGCCCACATCCCTGTCACCTCCATACCTTATCTCCCTTCTCTCCGTCG